ATTCACTTCCGATTATAAATTTAGATTTTTGTCTCCCGCAAAATATTTCTAATGCCATTTCGCTCACTTCTTGCTTCAAGTGCTTCCATTAACATTTTACTTATTGCTGAGAATTAATTTTAATCACAATGGAAGAATTGTTTCCAATTTCCAATTGTTTCCTGTAGTTTCCTCAAAATCTTCACTTAATCTTCGAAAAACGCACTATTTTTATTTGAGAGAGAATTTTGCTCCAACTATAAATCTTCAAAGCGCTTGTTTGTGGTGGCAATTTGGCAGGATTTGCGGGGTTTCTTGTCTCAAAACGGCAGTTTCCTTTAGGGAATTGTTTTTTCGCAAACTTGCAAATTTTTTTGCTTCATTTCATTTATTTTTTATTGCCACATTAGCTGAAACTCTTCAATCACCATTTTGCTCCCAACACACTACGATTTCGATCAAAAAGTCGACACATTTTAACCAGAAAAAAACAATAGCCAATCCAATGGCTGGAACATTAACTTGAAGTGACTTTAATTAACAAACGCGTGTGCAGCTTAATTTATGGACCCTGCGGCGCTTATTCCCTAAACTCTCCCCTAATTTTATACGGGACTTTCATGGATCACCCCTCATGGAACAGGTCTTATTCTTCCCGTACTGAAATGCTGCAAACAGGTTTTCTAACGTTTATGTGATGCTATGTTGACAATGAAAAATTTTCCGTAATTAAACACCCAGAATGGCGCAAAAAAAACTGGCCGAGCTCTTGATATGCAAGACATCAATCTGACCGAGATTCGCTTCAGATATGTGCCAAACGCGATTGTTTCAGCCCTTTTGTTCGCGGTGGCAAAAAATGAGAACATCAAGAAGGTCAAGTCCCAGTTCTGTCGTGCTTCATTGCTCTTTTGCTTTTTTCCGTTCCATTAATAATCTACAATTTGCACAACTGCTGGCAAGTTACGACCCGTTCTCAAGTCTTCGCGAGATCGTCTTGGTTCCCACGTGTTTTAGTTTATTTTGTAGACAGCACCTGCCGCTAATGGGTCGAAATCGAGTTGTGGCGTGATTATTTGTATGCAGTTTTTTCGATTAAACATGTTATGATTATACGTTACGTTGTTTAAGGTTTTTATTCCGTATTTGGTCTTCCAATGACTTTGGCTTTGGTGATTTTCGCCTGTCCACATGCGTCCTTGTTAATGCTCTTAAAATAGTCATTTTTGCAGATTAGTTTCGTTCATTCTCAGTGAGTTTCCTCAACAGTAGTTGAAACAGGATTTGCAACGCACTGTATGAAAAAATCATCTGCAAAACTCAGACTAGTAGAACTTTAACTTTTGTAAATATTTACAAACAGAACACATGAAAACCGTCCGAAACTGGCCACTTTTGTGCTCGGCTGTGAAAGGGACATGCCCTAGGGGGCAATCAGCATGGTGACATTTCCGAAGTGCAACTATTAGGGCTCTACAATGGACGCTAATCAAAGTGTGAAGCCGTCGATGGTTTTATGGCTTTCTACCTGTTTTTAGAAGAGTTTCTTTGATGAGCACACGCCAGGACACCCTCTGTAATTTGCGAACAAAACGAGAATATAATAGAATGTTTACGAGCTAAAGCGGAATCGTTAAAAACCCATTTTGCAAATGTAACTTTGTGCTAATCTAGCTTAAAGGGGTGCGTTTTTGCCTGGTTAAGTCTCCACTAGACGCTCAAGACGCTGGCAAAAAATCACCACCTGCGCACGTCTAAATAGATCAGAACGTCGACAAGTCTGAACGTGTTCTTCGGTGCCCCAAACCCGGATCGTTCTCACACTGACCTGTTCGTCTAAAAAAGGCTCAAAAGGAAATTTACTTATACCAACCACGTTTCTTTGCGTAGCTCTAACAAAAGATGCTCGATGACTCACACACACACACAGTAGCGCTTTTGTTGCAATTTTTCACCCTGACTTGAATTGGTAATCTATTTAGACGCGAATATAAAGGTGACAATATATGTGGGTGAAATGGTATTGAACTATCACGTGTGAAAGTTTCTAGGTTTGAAACGTGTCGAGACTTGTCGATGGCAGCAAATAACAATAAACTTTCTTGGCGTTATTGTTGCGGTTGTTAGTCATTATTGCCAGTTTTTGAAGATTCTAATTTGCTTTTTTAGTAACCTGCGATTGGACAAGTATGCAGCTTAAAAAACTTCTGTTGAAAATCAATTGTTGGTGAGTTTATCAGCCCCGAAAAACTCTTTAGTTTCAGTCGTTACTGACTGGTGAGTTTTTCGTGCTTCTAGGCCGTCGTGGAAAATAATTTTCCACTGCGGCCTAAAAACCCGAAGAAGTGGCCAGTTTCTAGCAACCGCCGTAAAAGCCCAACTTTATGAACGAAAATTAAAACAAATTGTCAATTGTTTGAATGTGTAAAAATGCCTAAGTGCCCAAAGTTTTATTTTCAAAAAAAATACTCAAAAACACACTGTAGCACAAAAATCATCAAAATTGATTGAAATTCCACTTTTCTGTCAACTATCGCCCCTAACGGGATCAAAAAGGCCCCGACTGCGGTACTTCGAACAAAAAATCCGCTTCCAAAACTGATCAACAAGTGGCTCCGAACGCCCTTACAAAGATAATACCACTATATGGCTGCAATAAAACTTTTGTATAATGGCGAAAAAGGGGTAGCTGCATTTAACCCTTTGTACGGGGCAAATCGGGGTCCATTTTACCACCACTGTAAATTTGTAAGAAAGGGTGCAGCCACTAACAATGCTTCTGTGTGTTAAACACCGCCATCGTGTTGCACAACAAGACGAAATTTGAGAAGCCATTACATGCTTGAAAAAGTGTAGTAATAAAGGCTAAGGAACCTATAAAAAGAGGTTTTTTTGTGCTATAATAGAAGCGGGTCTAGCGTGCTTAATAAAGGCATGTGTCGAGGAAAAATTATGGTTTCAAGAAGGTATTAAAGGTATTTGGAGGGTATTATGTTTCAGTGGATATACACTGTCAAAGTGGTGCCGCAACATTAAAAAGAAATACGATTCCCGGCAATTTAGGAGAAGGAAATATTTCTGGGGCCTGTTTACGACCTCAGGCATTCCATTCCAGCTTCATCAATTAATATTCAAAGCGCATATACTGTAACGTTAAACCACCAAAAAAAAGAGGAAAATATAACCCGATTAAGTACCATCAGGTAGTAGGAATACAAGCAGAAACTTGCCGATGCGTCAGCATGTGCAGCTGCTCCTCAAAAAAATTTAATAGGTCGTGAAGAAATCTGCGATAAAGCGAGAAATTCGGAATTTATGGGATTTTCTATTAATCTTCCGTAAATATTTACCGGAAGAATAAATACGATAAATATTTGAGAGTATGCGGTGTCACGTACTCTTCGGCAACGCAAACAAGATTAGTTCGTTCGGGGGCTGTTGGGGACCATAAAACAGAGAATTCAGCCGATAACAGCTTGGCACTTTTTAAACTTATTCCTAGGAATTTTTTCCCGATTAAAAAACAGACACAAAAAACAAGATTAGTTGATGTTCCAATGACCTAAACCTGCCATCCTTACAATTAGCGCTTATCTACTGCCCCGCTTTGTGTTCAGTTTCCTCCCATATCTGGGCGAAAATCGAAGAACCTCACCCTTAACCACCCCCTGTGCCATCCAACCCTCGTTTTTGCCATTATCTTATAATAAGTCGGTGTGCAACAAGTGAGGCAGAAACTTCGTGCCCCATCTACCTGTCCGGCCCCGTATATGCTGAGGAAAACCATTAATAAATAAAGGTTTCAGATATCTCTTTCTACCTGTCTTGCCCCTCCTGGAGAGGCACTTATCTATAGCTTATTCCATGCGGTT